GGGGGGGCCCGCAAGGTGGAAGTTTCGCCTAGGGCGCAAAACTTCCTTGCACCGGCCCTGCATGGATACCATGAGTGTTATAAAGGAATAAGGGGCATAAGGCCAAATCAGACCTCTCAACTGGCTGAGCATTCAGCACCTTGTAAATTCTTCTTGGATTCTAGCGTCATGTAGATACTGGGGACTGGTAAAGATGTAATAGACTCGTTTAAAATATGTCTGCTTTCAAGGGGGAGGGTTAACTGAATTCACATTCTGGTGAGACAATCATTCACTTAAACTCCTGCTTCTCTACCACTACCTTATAATTCAATGTGAAGCACCTCTGTAATCACACCGGATACCTTGCTGCATAACATGTGAGATGGTATTTAATAAATGTGCTTACAGCGAGAGTTATGAGTGAATGTATTTTTCAGTGGAACCATAATAAAAAAAGAGAGAGCAAGAGAAAGAAGAGAATGAAAAGGCATTTCTTTTTAGCCTCAGCTTTTTGGCAAACATAAATGGCAGTTTTTGCAGGTGTAATTTGTCCTTTGGCCATGGGAAAAACTGTTTTATCAAGAAAATGGCACATTTCCCTTCTGTGCTGTTGGATTTTTGTGCTTTTCTGCTCTCTGCTGAAAGCTGTTCCTCATTCATGTCCATGGCCACAGACTAAATCACGTTAACCACCACCCTCTGCATTTCTCATGTATATTCATCACACTTCATGTAAAGGGATCACCATTCTGCTTTGATCTGGCAAATCTAAAGCTGTTTCCTTTCCTGGTCTGTGCGCTGTAAGGTCTCTGAGCAGTGGTGAATTTTCAGATTGGTGCAGCAAGGGACAAAAATACAAAACCTCGTAAGTGAGGTGGGGCAGCTTAAGCAATAATGGAGTCTGAGTTCCGAAATGAACTTCTGGATGGGTTTACAGTCACAACAGTATCCTTCAGAGTCTCTGTAAAATATCCTTCTCTGGTCAAACTCTGAATGCTCCATCAGGGTCTACAACCGAGTAATACTGGCTTTAGCTGTTGCCTTGGCTCTGTTCTAGTTAGGTTCAAGCAGGGTACTGGAGCAGGCATTATAGGAGAGGTAGCATGGCCTAGAGGATAAGGCACTGGAGTGGGAGTCAGGAGCTTTAGGGTTGGCTTTTCAAATGTAATGGGAGTTGGGTCCCTAGTTTTTTTCCCCTTTGAAAAAGCCCAGTTTCAAGTTCTATTCCTGGTTCTGCCACTGACCTACTGTGTGATATGGGCAAGTTACTTCACCCCTTTGTGCCGTTAGAAACAGGAATTGTTTCAGAGTCGTTCTATGGCCTGTGTTAGCCTGGAGGTTGGACTAGATGATCATAATGGTCCCTTCGGGCCTTGGGCTCTATGGAGCTGTAAAATGAGGATAATGAAGCTTGAATTGAACTGAACACTCTTGATTTGGGGCAAGTTCAGATGTAAACTGGATTTTGCAGCGTGGGCTCCTCTCTGATGACTAATAACTAAAAACCTCCTCTTCATGAAAGCCTCAGCTCTCTGCCCATGCTTCTCTATGGCTTTGTGCTTCCACTGGTTGATGCCTGAAGGGACAGCAAAAACTACAAACCAAACCCTAAGCTGACTCTCTCACATCTAAGCCCTGCAACATAGCAGCAAAACGGTTAAGAGAAACGATGCAAAGCTGATAAAATGCCAAAAATTCCTCATTCTTCTGCGAGGGGGAGAGGGAAGGTTGTCTGGAAAATGTCAACAATAAAAATTACATTTCAATGGTATATGATGCAGCCAGCTACTGTGGGCAGAGTTATGTGCAGCCAGATGAGGAGACTTTAACGTCCCGTACGGTACCTGCTGCTTTGACTGAAACCCAGACTATGCTTCTGGTGGGTTTTTTTTCTTTTTTTGCTGCATGTGTCAGTACTGAAGGGCACAAAGTCTGAAAGTTTTGCTAACCAAACCAGCAGATTCCAAAGGGAGTGGAACCAGCATCTTTTGCCTCTCCATATAAAACAGGCCAGATCCTTGCCATTCACAGGCAGCTTTGGGCACCAGTGTTTGTGGCAAGGAATACGGCTTTTGAAAAGACAGGGTGGGGGTGGGGACTCGCTCTCCCATTAGAGATGAATGGGCCCCCTGGGACAATGATAGAGAATGTAATGGGGGAAAGAATAGTTAGGGGGAATACACCTTGCACCAAGAAGACAGGCAAGGGTGGGTGGGGGGGAGGGGTAATAAAGGAGAAAACAGGGGAGGGATGTTTTGGCACTAAAGGCAGCAACCCATATAGACCTTTATTTGTAACGGGAGTCAATATAGTGCTTGTGAAGGGCTGATAACGCTGGGCTGAGGCAAGCTGCTGAGCTAGCGTCCCCAGGCAAGTTTGTCAAGACAGCTCAAACCTGGACATGCCAGGGCTTCCCCATACAGCTCTGTTAATACACCTCGGTCCTGGTCTGTAGCCCCCATGTTTCCCTGGTCCTTAGTGAAACTGCCTGTGGAGCTGATACGCCACAGTCCTGGATGTTGTTAAGTACAGTCATGTATTTCTAAAGCCTGTTTCTGGACTGCACACCAATCTGTTATATTTATTTTTCTCGAAAATCAAAGCACACAGCTGGAGCTGTTGAGTAATATTTTATTGCATTATTGACGCCACTTGAATGGTTCTGACTACTTTTAACAAACTTGCCATGTTTTTATTTGCTGTTCAGATTATTCTTAATTCAATGCATAAATACCAGCCGAGACTGCACATTGTGAAAGCAGATGAAAACAACGCCTTTGGGTCCAAGAACACAGCGTTCTGCACACATGTGTTTCCAGAGACATCCTTTATATCGGTGACCTCCTATCAGAATCACAAGGTATGGTGCTTTGCAGCAAAAGGTGCTTTAGCTTTGTTAGGTGAGTGTAATTTTTGCAGCCCTGCACTGACGACTGAAATGAACTGATGGGAACAGGCACAGTATTACCGTTATAGGCACTGTGCTTTTGAGGAACAGTGTTTAATGATGCAATTGTGCAGCAGGAAATGTCCAAGCATAGCGATTGGTTAGCAAGACTGGAGAGGCAAAGGAGGCAGCTAAGGAGATGCATGAAAAATGGACTGTGTAAAAATATCTTGGCAATCTCCACTAGTATAGAACTAATGAAGCTGAGAGCTCATAAACTCTCAAATGTCACTCTCAACAGCAAGCAAATCTAATAATGACTAGTAAAGCTGGCTCATAAATCTATAGTGAAAAGTAATTACAATATATATATTTAGTGGGACATACAAGGAATGTGACCATAAAAGTGCAGCTCAGAGCCTGACTTGTGGTTAGGACACGAGGGAAGGTGGATTTGTGTTTTGTTTTTTGGGGAATATAAAATTCTAAGGGCTCAGTTCAGCTGCACGTAATGGATTATCATATATTGGGAGGGGCTAGAGCAGGAGGGGAGTGACAAAATTTGGTGTGGTCCCATCTAAAACGGGGAGAAGTGGAAGGTGCCAAACAACATATGAAGAGAAGAGAAGTGAGCTGATTGGAGAAAAGAGAGAGGAATATGACCAATTACTTAATACACATTCTTTTCTTCCGTCTCCTCCTCTTCCCTCCTCCCCTTATTTAGCCCTTAGAGAAGATGTCAGTGTAAGCTGAAGGTGTCCAGAGCAGGGGGATCATATTCTTACACAAACGACCCTGTCATTCCCAGCATGTTAGTTCAAACAGATTTTCCTGCAGCGCCAGGAATGCGCATCTAATGGGGCTTGTTGCTTTTGTAACTTGGGCGGAGGCGGTGCTTATGGGGGAAGAACACTGGGGAAGATGCGTGATTGGTTATCTGAGGCCGTCTCCTCTCCCAACGAGGCCAACAAAAGAAAGGGGGAGGAGGCAACAGATTTTGAGACTTAAGGAGCATTGTAATCCCCAGGCCGGCTAGACAACAGTGCAGCCGGTCAGCTGCCACCTTCCCATGGCTCTCAGTAGTAGCCCAGGGCATGCAGGAGCAAGAGCGGGGGCTGGGGAATTCGGGCTCTTAGGTTCTATTCGTAGCTCTGCGAGTGATTTGCTGCTTCTATACTATAATTTCCCTATCTGTAAAATAGAGGTGAGGACACTTGTCTACCTCTAGGGATGTATTAGGCTTAACTGAGTTTTGTTAAAGGCCTGCCTGTGTCACTGAATGTAATATCTGCACTGTATGTCAAGATATAGACTCCTCCTACAAAAGTAGATTACCCCAAACACATGTGAAATTCCTGCCCATCTTTGGTCTGTTTAAATCTTTTTCTCATAGGAGTAGGAGTCAGGTTTATTTTGCCATTTGAAGGCCGGAATCCTATGCAGTTACTGAGGCAGGGCGAAGAATCACAATGGAAACCGGGCTCTGTGTGTCAAAGTAAAACAGGCAAGAGAGAGCCTTAGCTGAACGCTAATATGGATCCTAGTTACAAACTTGTGACTGTAAATGTAAAATGACCAATAGCCCAAACATGGTTAACCAGAAAGGCACTGAAGAGCTCGTTTAATAGCTACTCATAATATTTTACGTCAATAGCGCCTTTCATCCTGAAGAAGCCCTATGTGCTTCATAAACTTTATACTTACAATATAACTGACATGCAGCCACTTCTTGTGGGGAGGCTGGTAGCTAACAGATGTACAGCACACAACATAGTGATGTGGCTGGGGCGAAAGTCACCAGGACAAACCACTACTGTTAAGGGATCTTTATGGCCAGATTTTCAAAAGAATTCAGCTTATAGCAGTTATATGGAGAACTATCGCCGCTGCAGAAAGCTGAGCCCTTCATGTTGGTGTCTAAAGGGGAGCGGAGCTCTTTTGAAAATCTGACCTTCACCGCCCATGTGACGAGCTTTGTTAATGTCACCTCTGAAATGTCATGACAGAGCAAAACAAATGGAACTCCATGTGCCCACCTCAAAGGCTAAAGGGCTACCTGGCACTGCCTGGATTTTAACCTGATGTCCCCCAGAGCCGAGGTAGTGCAGACCTGCTGCACAGCTAGTGGAGCAGCATGAGCTAGAGGATGAGGAGCCAGAGACTCCTGTGATCTAATCTCCGCGCTGCCATGGGCTCAGTGTGTGGCCTTGAGCAAATCACCACCTCACAGTGCTAAATCCATAATAAGTTCTTCATTAGAAAACCATCCTTTCTGGCATTGATAATGAAACCCCCAGAACCACAGGAATTGCACATCATCTTTAAAAGGTCTGTTTTCCAGATTTCAGCCAATTGCCAAACTCTTTGGCTCAAGAAATATTCAGCCAGCCAGAGGTGCACTTATTAATAACGGCAGCTTCTCTGAAAGAGAATCGAGAGCTTGATTTCACAGTTGAATATGAAGTTGAAATGAGCATAATGCTACTGGGTAAAATCCCCAGCTCCACCCCGCACGCACACCCGTCTAGGCAGTAGAGCTTTCTGGGTATATTTACCCCAAACTTCCCTTTTGGGGCAGATGCAGGCAGGATGGAATCCTGGTTCTGTTGAAGTCAGTGGCAATACTCCTATCCACTTCAGTGGGGCTAGGGTTTCACCCTACATGCCAAAGATTTTGCATTGAAGTGTGTGTGGGGGGGGGAAATTTCAACCCCAAAGCATTAATATTTGAGCTCCCATCTATCTCTACCTAACAGTCATCTCAAATTTCTTTGAAGAAAAAGAATAGCAGGAACACAATGGAAATTATTATTTCTGCTGCCAAAAGGGGCTTGTTTAAAAATGTGTTGTGACTGCAGCAGAATCAAGTCAGGCTGCATGTTACAGCATCAAAGAAATTAAATTAAGGCTTACGTGGCTTCATGTTGGTCTGTGGGTGGGGAGGCAGGCAAGGCCTTAAGCGTCTTGTGGTTCCTCGGATGATTGTTAGGCTACCACAGAATCCACTAGTGAATCAAAGGGGGGGGAAAAGAGAGCACTGACTCCATCCAAAATGGAGCCAACAACATCAACGCCAGGCTCAGTTTACAGTCTGCACAGAGTAGATCCTGACAGCTGTTGAAAGTGGCATCCGATGTTGGCTACATTCACGTATTGACGCATCCCTTCTTTGATTACAAATACCAGCAGCTCCATTATGATGGGGGAGAGAAGCTCTTTTATAATCTTCATTCTGTTGGGTAAGGGATATTGTTAAAGCGTTATTGAAAGTACAGATGCTAATTAGAGCAGCATTTTTGGAAATAAGAGCCAAATGGTGGATGGTACAGGTACTTGCCAGAAAACCCTTAGCCAGCTCCCACTCGCCCCTGCCTGCTAAGGTGGCTATCTGGATTCTGCCCCATGTCAGAGAGCAAGTACATTGTAGGTGTGACTGGAGTTCAGGGCCATAGTATATGTGTACACTCCCTTCAAACCATCAGTAGCCTTTGCAGATTACCACTCCCTCCGCATGGAAATTATTCATATTTTCATTTGCAATCAAATGCATGAGGAGACGAGGTTGAGTGTTGCTCTTGTGTTACCATAACAACACATTAACGCAGGGCTGTCTGTCTATGGTATTTCTTAGACTTGTATGAAATGGGGGGGTAATGTGTGTGTTGGGGGTGCATGTACACACCCTTTGGGACAAGATGCCTTATGCCCACTTCCAGAGCTCCTGGGTCAGTATTCTGATATAAAATAATTTGGTGGTAATTAGTTTAAATATCAGTTTTCAGTGGGCGGGAAGAGCACAGAATTGTCACTATGTGTTTGGAGGAGAAGGGGCCTGGAAGAGATGCGGCTAAGCATGCTGCATCAGAGAAAGCAACCCTTGACAACAGTTATTTTCCAAAGGTTGGTGCCTTTCACCTGAGCGCATCACGAAGATTCCACCACAGTGGCCCATCGTTGTCGTAACAGTAGAGATGTACATTGGGTTTGACAAACACAGCAGTAAACAGGGGCTCTTCCCCAAGGAGCTGCTACTATTCACCAGTAGATGGCAAAAACTGAAGGATCAGGCACAAGAATGGTGTGGCTTAAGAAATTACTTTTAAAGGAGGGATTTGGAAGAGGTCACCTTTGAAGGCCACCACTATGAGCTTCAGGGTGAACAGCAGGAAGAAACAAAGGGTGCACAAAAGCAAGAGAATTGAGAGAAGATTAGAGCGGGGGTGGGGAGAGTAAATGGATGCAGAGATTTAGGCAGGTGAGGGGACTGTGGGGAAACTTGATGAGGCAACTGAACTTTATTACCAGAGGGGAAAGTCAGGAGACAGCCAGAGAATCCAAGAACATAGATGAGGGGAAGCAGAAAAATTAAAGGACTGTGGGAAAAACCCTGATAAGATTCAAGTGTTCTGTGTGGGGGGCGGGGAAGAGGAGGAAATATAGAAAGACCAACTAGCACTTGTGGACTGCAAGCCCTAATGCGAGTGAGGACATCACTGATGAAAGCTTTATAGCCTTGTAATTCACAGTTGTTTAGCATTCAGTCAATATTTCTTAGATATTTTTATTTCCTTGGTATCTTGTTACATGTGAACCACAAGAGAGGAGCTCCTGAGGCCTGGGCTGGCGCAATAAACCCGGAGATAACATTGTGAGCTCTACCTTACTCCTATTGAAATCACTGGGAGTTGTGCCATTGACTAAGCAGCAGCAGGCCCAGGCCCTTTACCGGTGTTTTATATGGATGGGTTTCAGTTTTTAAAACAAACACGCTCTCTCTCTCTCTTACTTACTTCTTTGACATGTTTGCTGCCCCCACATCTTCAGAGCCCCTTAAAGTTGGTATTAACCAAAGTGGTTTGAGTGTCAATGCTCCAGGGGCTGCTTCAAATCAGTAGGAAAGTTATTAAAAGCTCTTTCCCATGTAAGACATCCTTCTTTGCATGACCTGCTGGATGTGTGCATGCACACACAAAGCTGCTCGCCATGTGTTGTATAAGGAGTTTTATTGTTCCTTGAGGAAACATTTAAGGTACTGGCACGAAAGTTACTGCCAGATGACTTTGGGGCAAACCCCTCTCTGCTCAGACTATGGGTAAAATTTTCAAAAAAAACCCACCTCCAGTGGCAGGTCAAGTGATTCGCACTTGCAATGTCTCAGAAACCAGTCCAAGTCCAAACATCTACGCTACTATTTTTAGCTCTGCAGCGTGAGCCCAAGTCAGGTGACATGGGTTCTGAGGCCATGAGTGTTGTGTGTGTGTGTGTGCCCTAAGTTACAATGGTGTAAACCCAGGGAAGGCAATAGAGTTATTCTGGGTTTAACAGCTCCGAGGCTGGCCCATTTTTTTTTCATCAAAGCCTTGTTTTCACAAATATCTTTGGCAAATCCAGGTTATGCTCATTTTTAATTAAGTTAAAATTGTGGCTTTGCTGCTGTTGACCTACAAGGGGGCAGAAGCATGCCTTTGTAAACTGAAAACCCTCAATCTACTTGCTGGTGGTTATGGTTTTAGCAACCAGAGCAAAAAAAAAATGTGAAAACAACCAAACAGCTTGTGTAGCACTTCTAGTGCTCCTGCCTGAAAAAGCTGAACTCTATGGAGTGTGGTATTTTTCTAAAAGTCCAAGTGATTACTGTGACTCACAGAGGGGCTGAGCCAAACAACTAACATCAGTGACAAGACTCCAGATATAAAGGTGCAATTGCTTGGGTGTATCCCCTGGAGTTTCATCAGCAAGTGTGAGTTTAGAAAGTAAGCCTGAGTGGGGTCACCACGGAAAACGCCAGGTGCTGTAAGCCGTAGATTAGGTGACTCCATAGCTATTGAAACACAGTTAGAACAATGGGGAGATAAGGCTGGTGGAATTGCAATCACTTGAAGCCATTCACTCAGCTGTCTGTCTTAAAGAGATGTTCTAGCACAACCCCAGTCTGCTTGATGAAGACATTACCAAGTGACAGTTTAAGGCCTGTGTTACAGCAGTGTAGATGACCATAATGGTCCCGTCTGACCTTCATCTATGGATTTCTGTGTTCCTTTCCCCAGAGGTGGGCTTGGCCCAGCATTGTGCTATGGGAGATGCCCTTTTTCTTGAGAAGTAAAACTGAGGTCCTGATCATTTCTGAGCCTTAACGATTCCATAGCACTATTCGCAAGGGTAGGGGGAAAAGAGTGATCACCTTTGGTAACTCTAGTCTGTCTCCATAAAATCTTCCTGTAGCTCCTCTTCACTAATCAGTTGGGTAGTGGTGCTGTGCACGTGTTAGATCGCAGGGTATGTTTCTGCGTATTTGCATTACATGGTGGGTGAAGTGATTTCTGTGTACATATAGTTTATAAAAGAGACATATTAAATGAAGTTATTACTAAGGTCTTAAGGGGATTTAATGGATCTGCTCTGCTTTTTCTACTTAGCTGAGTGTTAATGTGAAATTTCCCAGCTTCTGAAACCCTTCCCATATTCTCCACAAAAATCATTTGTTAAAAGAGACTGTAGTTTAGCGAATACCCTGCAACACAACACTCTTTCCTATGACTTTTGTGTGCGGTTTTAATTTCATGTGTGTGTTTGCCGGGGGAGGGGGGGGGAGGAGAAATGAGAGAAGAGGCTTGTTTACGTGTGTTCTTTGAGGGGTGAAACTAATGAATATTTTTAAATGAAATTTTACACAAGGCCCTATAACTTCCCCTAGTGTGTGTGATTGATTTATTTATTTATTGCAAAATTTTCATGAAGTTATAGAAATTGATCTCAGGTGGAGGGGTTTGGATCACTGTGGTGGACTTAGTCTCTGGAAAGGCTAGTGTATTTCTGAGTAATAGTGACTATAAAGCCATAGTAATTTTTCTCACCCATAAGGGATGGGGCTAGAAGACACTGCCTGGGGTAGGGGAAGATGGTTTAAAAGGGGTGGGTGGCAGATATCCACCCAGGTCTCTGTTTTGAAGAACTTTACTTTAGGCCACAAAAGGTACATTTTCACTAATGATAGCACTGAATAAAAACCGTCAGTCCTCACTGTGCCCTTATCTCAAGCCCAAACCTCTTGCCTTCAACCCTGGAAAATAAAATAAAAAAGGCCTTTTGGGAAAGTTCAGCTCTAGCCCCAAACTTTGCAGCTCAGGCCTCTCTGATTTTCAACTGATCTAGCCCCTTCCACTGTAGCATCTTTAGGTGACTGAAGCGGTGCAGGAAGTAGACGCTGAATGCCACTGGATGATGCCTTTTTACATGCATCTTTTCAGATCTACAAACCTAGTCCCACAACCCTACATGTGGTTCTAAGACACTATTGACTGACTCCTGTTTTGTTTCATTCTTTTAAAGATAACCCAGCTGAAAATTGAAAACAACCCATTTGCCAAGGGATTCAGGGGAAGCGATGACAGCGATTTGCGTGTGGCACGGCTACAAAGGTGTGGATAAAAAGAGCAATGAGATGGCAGCTGTTTAGAATACAGTATATAGTTCTAACCTCTGCCATCAGAGGGCATTGATGCAATGTGTGTGTATGGATGTATGAAATGCATTCAGGGGTTTTTTTCTTCCAATCCAATAATCTATGGTAACAGGGCTTTGGGAGAGCAAATGTAGGCTTATGAGTAGAAGCAAGGGGCTCCAGCATTCTAAGTCTGGCTCGGCCACCAATTTGCACAAGTCTCCACCACTCTGTGGCTCAAGCTGTGATAGTTATTATAATACTCACCTACCGCCACACAGTGGTTGTGAAACTTGGTTAATTTTTTTTTTTTTTAGTAAAATGCCTTGAAATCCTTGGCTGCAAGGTGCTATAGGAATGCTAAAGTAGTAGTATTTTGTCCTGCAAGGGCTGCCCGCTATCTAACTAGTAAATAACTTTTCTCGCCTGCAGCAAAGAATATCCAGTGATTTCCAAAAGCATCATGAGGCAGAGGTTGGTTTCCACTCATGGCCAGCTTTCAACAAAAACAGATGTCAACCCACTCCATGGGAATCACCAGACCCTTCAGCATTATCAGTATGAGAATGGTGCTCATATGCCGTTTGCTGCTTCGGATACTCAAGATCTACCACTCAACACCTTCACAGCACAGAGAGACTCAGGGCTCTTTTATCACTGCCTGAAAAGAAGAGGTAACAGACCTTTATAGATCTTCCTCCATATACAAAACAAAACACCCTAGTAGATTCTTTGGCACCTTTTTCTGTCTCTCCAGGGCCAGGAGAGCTGTGCTGTGCAAAGCACTGGTGGAACTTCTGATTGGATAGTATTTTGAGCACAATCCGTCAAGGTGCTCTGCTGTCTTCATTGCAAGTTATGAATGCTCAGTGGTTTGCCCAAGTATACAGGCCCTTGTAGGATCAGGCCCTGAGAACAATGCTAAGGTGCTAAGGGAAGTGATATTTTGGATGTCAACATTCATGATACAATAGTTTAAATGTAGGAAATTCAAGTTCTGAATTATCTGAGCTCAAAATATAGCCGACAAGCAAATTCATTTGTACTCTAAATCTGTGCATAAAGTTGCCATTTGTCTCTGCACTTTAAACGTGTTCAGTGAAGTGCACCAATTTTATAAGAAAGGAGAATCTAGAAACAACTATTATGACACACTAGGGGCTCAGCTACCACCTTTACTCACACTGAGTAGTACATGTGAATAGTCTCATTGAAAGAAACACAGTACTACTCATGGAATAAAATTCATGTCATCAGAAAGGTGACAGGACAGTGCCATAAGTGATTTATTATATATCACTTCTATAGTACCACAGTGGTTAGTCTCATTTGCCACCCTAAAGAGCCTGATCCAAAGCTCAGTGCAAGTCTTTCCGCAGATTCCGGTGGGCTGGGGATTAGATCTAAGTCCTGATCCTGTAAACACTATTGAGAGTAGCACTTATTACCCTATAGTCCCCCCCAAAAAAGACTGACTTAGGCCCTAAACTAGAGCAAACAAGCAAAGCAGAGCATCATGGCGTGTGTCTGAAGGAGTGAGATTATGTTGGTAAATTATGCATTCAATTACAAACAGTTACATATGTCTATGTATATTCTTAATCAGAAAGTTTATGCAACTGAGGCCTGATCCTGAAATGTGCTGAGCTCCTCCAACTGCCAGTGAGATTATGGGGAGTTGTACATGCTCAGCACTTTTCAGAATCAAGCCTTTAGTAAGTTTAACGTCTGTCTATTTTTGATTACAGAAGCTAGCTGTAGACATTTTCTTTGCCTGCTGAGCCAGCTTTTAAATGTAACCAGCTTTCAAGTACACACTGCTCCCTTCAGACCAGTATCAGATAAGATCATGTCAGATTCTTTTGTTTTTAAATTAAAGGGAAGGGCTTTGCCGAGAAAAATCCTTATACTACCATGTCTCATTTGCTGCTAATTAATCTCAGCCTTGGTGAAGACACAGGTAATAAGAACTGCAATGCAAAACTTTAATAATAGCAATCCGCTGGTAGAGTTGCTGCTTCTCCTACAGTAAATAGTTCCTAATGATAGAATGCCTGTAAACAACATACAAAGTCAATTGAAAGAGACAGCTTCTCTAGCACATAGCAGAAATCCTTACCAGAGCACTTTCCCTTGGCTTTATCTTGAAATATTTCTGCAGCCCTTGATGTGAATACCTGGTAAATGTATAGTAATTTTTGTGAGGACAGGAAGAAAGGTTGCGATAAGACATTTAAAAAGACTTCTTGAATTTGTCAAAAGCCTCGTGGTCCTCCAGTTATCTGGATGAATGAAAAGTAATCTCTGGCTGTAAAAGTAGTAACCCAGATCACTTATTTAAGCTGATAAATGTAGCCGAAAAATGCTTTAAGGCTGATTGGATTAGACTAACATTAACAGTGTAATGCCTTTTTAATATTAAATATTGTTTTTCAAAATAAAGTAGCTTAACTGGATTAGCCTGAATAACAATGCAAGTAACCTAGTAAAATGACTGTAAGATTCACATGCTTTTAAAGCGAATCCATAAGCTTTTCGAGGGCTTGACAATGTAATGTTAAATGCTGTTACACTGGAAACCTTTCCCTAAATGCTTATTTCTTTGTTTACAGAAAGTGCTCGGCATTTAGACCTGCCCTGCAAACGCTCCTATCTGGAAGCCTCCTCGGCTGTAGGAGAAGATCATTATTTTCGTTCGCCACCTCCATATGACCAGCAAATGTTAAGTCCTTCCTATTGCAGTGAGGTGACACCTAGGGAAGCTTGTATGTACTCAGGTTCTGGGGCTGAAATCGCAGGTGTCTCAACAGTCGATGACTTGCCGCCTCCTCCCCCTCCCCCTTTGAGCTGCAATATGTGGACTTCTGTTGCACCTTACACCAGCTACAGTGTTCAGACAATGGAAACTGTGCCTTATCAGCCTTTCCCTGCTCATTTTACAACCACCACCATGATGCCAAGACTCCCCTCTATCACAAGTCAAAGCTCACAACCACCAGGTAATAGCCCCTTCAGTGTCTACAATCAACTGTCACAGTCTCAGGTTCGGGAGCGAGTTCCTCCTTCATCCTTCCCGAGGGAAAGAGTGCACCCATCTGTTTGCGAGAGGAAGCCCCCATCTCCGCACTTAAACACAGCAAACGAATTTCTGTACTCACAAAGCTTTTCACTCTCGAGGGAATCTTCATTACCGTACCATTCAGGAATGGGGACTGTGGAAAACTGGACTGATGGATGATTCTACTATCTAAGTAACAAAACAGCTAGTTTTACTGCTCCTGAACAATGTTACTTCAGTGTTAATTCCTGTGGGTAACTTGCACTTCAGTGAAACCTACACACATGTATATTTCCAAAGGGTGTGTGTGTGTGTGTATGAGGCGTTTGTATCTTTACACATAGACAGTTCTGTACAAAGTAACTCTTGGATCAATGGCCTGGATTCACCAATCTCTTCTAAATTAATTCAGTCCTACTAGCCCCTAAGGACCATCCGAATGACTAAAATGTAACGTGGCTGGTCCTTTTCCTTTGTTTAAAACAGCAGATTTTTGGGGAAATTATTACCCTTAGTTTATGTGGCTCATGGAGTCATAACAATTAAAGACAAAACCATCAATTGTAATCCAATGGCTGCAAGCTCTTTTCATCTAGGACTGTTTCTATCCTCAGCAGTGGATAAGCATTATTAGCCCACTTATAGCTGGGGAAGCAGAATCTCAGTGAAGTGACTTGCCCTGAGGCTGCATACACAAGAAGCCAATTGGAGAACGAGGAACAGAACCCATGTCATCGGATTCCTGGTTTTGTTTCTCCCAGACACTGCAGTATAGTGGCTTGAGGTTTGTCCAGTCTAGTTTTAAATGGCTTTAGAAATGGGGTTTCCACCATTCCCCCTTGGGGAACACTATTTCACAGTGTAATAGCCTCTAAATAGGAGGGGAGGGATAGCTCAGCGGTTTGAGCATTGGCCTGCTAAACCCAGGGTTGTGAGTTCAATCCTTGAGAAGGCCATTTAGGGATCTGGGGCAAAAATCTGGGGATTGGTCCTGCTTTGAGCATGGGGTTGGACTAGATGACCTCCTGAGGTCCCTTCCAACCCTAATATTCTATTTAAAAAAAATACTCATTTTATTTGCACTGAATTGAAGGGAGTTGTTTTCAGGACAGTGGAGACAGTGAACCAATTCCCCCCCCACACACTTTTAATTAAAGTTATCAGATTTTGCAATGGACAAAGTATCAGTGGAGGTGTGAAAAGCTGTGACCAATATATTTGTTGCTAATATTTTTACTGTGGAATTATTTCCAGGTGACAAATGGAAGGATACCTCCTTCAATGATCAAAGGCCTGCAAGAATTCATTCATCCAAACAAAAAACCCAGCCATTACGAGACATGGACACATAGGGGGGAAATTCTGCATTCTTTATTAAACAAAACTCCCGCTGATTTCAACTGAATAGTTTTATTAGGAAGGAATTGCATCTTTCTCTATGTATATACACCACATTAGGTTACTGTAGAACAAATAGAAGGATACATAGAAATAATAGTGGGAGTTTGGTTCAATTAAGGAGTACGGAATTTGGCCCTGTTTGCCAAGCAATCAATGAATAGGTGGAGTGCTAAAGAAATAAAAAAAATTGAAGTCACTTCTGCTCTTTGCTGAATCCATTCCAATGAGGAGAGATTGATGAAGATGTTTAAGCTAGACAAGCCCGAGGGCACTGAAGTGAAGGTTATTTTTAGCCAGGACATTCATATATACCGCATTCAACAGACAGTATGTGTGGATTTTGTAATCAGATTTGGGAAATCACTACAATTTTTGCATGCTGAATAGCTATTTATATATATAAAAATATATATCACAAATGCAGGCCACCTGTCGAATTCAGCTTTGCTTTTTACAAATGAAATACTTAATAAAAATGAATGTTGAAAGGGGTTTTTTTTTTTTGAAAGACATCTATTTAAGATTTTTTTAATTACACACTTGCTGTAAAAACTAAGAATTGGTTAGACAAAAGACATATATACCACAGATGAAACCACATTAGATACAGGTGGTGTGGAATTTTTAAATGTTTTGTTACATAGCATGGACATTTTATTTTACATATCAGAACATAAAGCCATTTTATTACTATAAACTGTCTCTGGGTGCATTTCAATAATTAGTATAAAATGTGCTGTGGTGAGTCATTGGACATCTGATCTTTCCCTCTGTCCTAATATAAATCTTACTCTTTCCCAACCTGCATGCTTGACCTTTTTACCAGCTCACAGCCACTCAGTAATATTTCAATTGCCTAATTCAAGGTTTTTTGTTGTTTTTAAATGGAGACACTCAAGCTCTAGAAACAATGAGTTGATAGTGATAGACCATGCTGCAAAGCACTCATGTTGAGGAGAAGAATCCTTACCCTGCATGCAAAATAAAAGCACCAAAATGGTGCATCTTTACATGTTTAAATGGCATTTATAATTAAAAGCAACATCTCAAGACTTAAGGGGGGGAAAAAGGTAACAGAGGTGTCACTGGACATAGGCTGATGTACACATTTTCATTTGTCATAGTGACAGTGAGGCAACACTAGAAGAGACTGGTGCTGCCACCCCTTCCTAAAATTTATGGGGCCATGAGCCTGCAGTCCCAGTGACCATCTATTCTGGATTCTTTTGCCTGTTTTACAAATTATATATATCTTAATATAGATAAATCTCTCTATAGATTAGATACATCATCTCCTTTTCTTTTGGTAGAAATAGCGCCCTTCCCCTGAACAGTTATACTTTCCATTTTAAAACCAGTTACCTGCCTCCTGTTACATTCAATGCACTGTGACTTGTTGTAAAGGATTTGAACAAATAGCCCTATCAGTGTGCTACTGTGCTGGGGAATGGGGTACAAGATTAACCTAAGGTTGAAAAGTCCTACAATATTTGGAAGATGAACAGTGTGGAAATAAAGCTTTCAGCCTTCTTGTGTAGGCGCTTACATTAAAGCAAACATTGAGAGGGGTTGGAAAAAAGCTGGATACGTACTAGAGTCTGTTGTTCATTGAGACATTAATAACCTATGCATAACTCCCATTACTATCAATGGAAGTACATTTTTGTAAAGGTTGGGGTCCAAATGTGATGTTGAAGCAAGTTGGGCTGAGTTCCACTGCTTTGAATAGTGCTCATGCCAACTCTGAATTTGGCCCTCACTCTAAATATATTAGTATTACTTACTTAGTCTACAAATTGATACAAATGTCAGAAATTAAACAAGCTAAAATTAATTCATGCCAAAAAAACCACTAGTCTGGGATCACTGGCAGCTCGCATACTTGACAGAGGCCTAAAGCTGGAATAACTGGGGTGTTTTTGGCATATACACACACTCAATGTTTTTTTCCAGGCTTAAATGTGTCTCTACAGTTTGGAAGATTTGGGCCTCTCTGTCTTAATTTATGATGTCATTAAATAATTCTTTTTGCAGCTTGTATAGAAAAAATGTTTCTTTTGAAGATGAGAACTCCCCTGGTGGGATGGTTAGAGTGGAACATTCCATTAGGAGGAAAAGTCATCTCTTCATTAGCCAGTCGAGATTCCCTACTGGTCTTTGAACAGCAAGAGATGACAGTTTTAGAAAATAAGGGCCTGATCCAGGGAAGTGCTCAGTACCTCCTATAACATGCTGAATTTATTTGAATGCCAGGTGGGAAGAAAGTACTGAGACTTTGCTGGATGGAGCTCTAAGAGTGCTTGAAGATTTCAGGGAAATTGCAAGATGGCCAACTTGCTGGTGAGGAAAGTAAGGATTTAAAATGTATCTCCTCTCCACAGGCTACATTGTCAATTTATTAAAAAGGGGGGAACATGGGGAACACTAAGACAAAGGGTCCCATTCAATAAAGAATGTATATTAATCTTAGCAAGACACTGTCATGCGAGAGTCAGGGGCCGTTGTGTCTCTTTTTAGAAAGAATCAAGCTGTGGAGTCAGATAATCAAATGGAATCTAAATCACACCTTTCCGACTTCTTAAGGGATCAGCCTGTCATGCTTAGTGGTGGATTTTGCATCCTAGTTCTGCTTTTTGTTTTAAGATTGTAAGCAGATAGCCAGCTGTAAGAGGAGTACCAGGTAAGTGGAAAGGGATTGACGTCACGAAGAAGTGGGAACTATAAAGGGTCAGCATAATCTGGTTGCCATTTATCTTCAGCCTCAGGGATTGTATACCTGGAGAATTGCACTCGTTTAACTTGAAGTGTGATTTTTAAACTGTTTTATTTAGTTAAATTAATGCAAAAGCCTGACACCATTATTGTGATTTAAACCAGGCTTATTTTGGTTTAGTTTAAGTCAATTAGGAACCTGTTTAAGATAAACCAAAATAACCCACTCAAATCAAAACAAGTATCCACTAGAGCTGATTGTGACAGAAGTTGACAAAAATTATTTTTTTCCCCCTCAAAATCTATCTGCAAAAAGCAACAGGATTTTGCCCCCAAAACCCACAGCATTTTAAAAAATTGTTCAGCAATGAAAATATTTCAATTTTTAGCTAAAAATTGATTTGGCAAAAAACCAAACATTTCCCACCAAAATTTCTATTTTGAAAAAAAATATATTTTGTGTCAAAACATTTTGAATGAAAACATTTGACCAGCTGTAGTGACCATATAGGACTATGCACTGTCTTAACTAAACTGGTTTAATTAAACCAGTCCAAGATTGTGTGTAGACAAAGCCTTAGACACCGCTCTTGTGGAGTTAAAGAAGCCTTTAATAAAACCCTTCACAGAGAACAACAGGCAAAGAACAACAAGTTTTTTGGTGTATCTGATATTCCAAACAAAAATAAATCCTACTTACATTAATTGAGTCCATTGCCAGAAGGGACAACTGTGATCATCCGGTCTGTCTTCCAGTTCAAGACTGGCCATAGTTCCTTTTGAATTAGAGCATATCTTAAAGAAAAACAAAGTTTAAAAGTTGATTTAAAAGTTGCCATTGACAGAGAATCTACCTTGTCCCTTGGTTAATTGTTCCAAGGTTTACTCACTTAAAAATGTACATATTACTTCCAGTCTGATGAATGTGTCTAACTTCAACTTGCAGCCAGAGAGTATCCCACCTTTAAGTGCTTGGCAGATATAAAAGGGCCCAGTCTTCCTTCCATTGAAGTCAGTGAGAAAGCTCCCATAGACTTACTTCAGTATGGCATGAAAATAAAAATGAA